GATAGCCAGCCATTTGCTAAGGCGACGAAGCGCTTAATGGACTTTATTAATAAAGTAACTTACATACATACATATATGGTATATATACATATGTGTACATTAAATAAACAATTGAAGCAACACCACAAAACATATACATATATGAACTCAAATTACATTAAATATATTTTTCCTTTTAAAAAAATCAATATATCGATCTCAGTAAGAAACCTAGATAATTTACCAAAAATCTTTACTTGACACATGTATAATCTGTTACAACAGTTCGTTTTTTGTACGTGCTTAATAGAGAACAATTCATTAGATTGCACGTTTATACTAAATTATTAACTATTTCAAACAAAACACGTTCAATTTCAGAAGGTATCAAACCTTGCAAACTCTAGCTCTACTATCTAGAAGCTTCTAATTTGTGAGCGTCGACTGTACTGCAAAATATGAATTCTTTTCTAATGGTTCGCCTGAATATAGATAGAAACATGCCAGTGGTCTTCTTTATAAAGCCATATTGAAAAAAACTTCAGAAAGCTTAATTCCACAGAGATTACGAAGCGGTGCAGAAATCCTCAAGCGTTCACTATCCGCAGGCAAACAAGTGTATGAAAGTGTACCAGAAGATTTTCCTGTGCACCAACCCATCGAAAAATATAGTTAAAGCAATCAGCAGGGGAAGCAACTTAATTAAGCAAATGACATTCCCGTGCCAATAAACAAACTGTGGGCTGCTTTTGCTACTGCTAAGCTTTTGGGGACTACAGTAGCAAGTATTGACATTTCTGCCGAATTTAAATTACCAGGTGTCGTTGCATTCTTAACATCCAAAGATATTCCAGGAAATAATATAATTAGTGGCGATGAATTCATGTTTTTCTTGGAAAACGAACAACTATTTCTTAGCGGTGCAATATCACTTAAATGGTTAGAAATAATACAAACTGCTTACAATCAACACATTAGTTTAATTGTAAGCGAAGATTGTAAGTGTAAGTGTTTGAGCTTTAGACCTTGTTGAAGTGGAAGTCGACATACTTAGCCGAAATTATCATCTTCCTCGTGTGGATATCTTGGAAGATGCAGCTGAGAGTGTGAATCCAAATGTAGATATTGGACAATTTGAAGGAGCATTTATGATGGGTCTCGGCTATTGGACGTCCGAAGAAATAGTTGTCGATGAAAATACTGGGTAACTGAAGACGAACCGATAGATTTTCGCATTGAGATGTTTAGCGGCAATCCAAATGTATCTGGCTTTATGCGATCTGAAGGTGTTATTTGTTAATTTGTACCTAATCATATATGGTTTTTTTATACTCTCGCAACAAAGTTGCTGTTGTTTTCGAGATATGTACAAAAAAGTTAGTAGGGGGTGGGGCCACACCCACTTTTCCAAAAAAAATTACGTCCAAATATGCCCCTCCCTAATGCGATCCTTTGTGCCAAATTTCACTTTAATAT